ATCACCCCAAACTGCCCCCCCCGCTGGTCTGCTCGCCCCTACCTTCCCTCCCCACTGGCCTGCTCATCCCCAACTGTCCCCCTACTGGCCTGCTCACTCCAAACTGCCCCCCCCCCGCTGTCCTGATCACCTCCAACTGACCCCCACTGATGGCCTGCTTGCCCCCAACTGGCCACCCTGCTGGTCTGCGTACCCCCGACGGCCCCGCCCCCCACCAGCCTGATCACCCACAACTGCCCTCCCCTCTTGGCCTTGAACCGCCTCTACCTCAGCCCAGCCACCATGGCTTTGTCCAGAAGAACATCTGGAAGGTCTCCTGGAAGGTCTCCCAGTCTAATTAGTATATTACTCTTTTATTAGTATAGATATATTTGTCTGTAAATATGATTATGATTGCAGATATGAGTAGGACCAGGTAAAATTTTATAGAATGGGCCTTTTATTACAAATGGCTTGCCATGTATGCATTTTTTCTAAAGAAGTAAAAATTACTTTAAAAAATGTTTCAGGAAGACTTTGAGAAATTTACAGTATCTGCTTTTCTTCCAAGAAAGTTGTCACTTTTATGCCAGAGTGAGAATTATTTGTAGGCTTTGTATGTCAGCATTGGGCCACTGTGACTGGGGGGCACTTAGCTTGACTTGAGAGTAATTATCTTGCTCACTGGCTGGGAGGGAGGGTGTGTGGCAGACGAGATAAATACTCGGTTCTGGATTATTCATAGATGGCTGACTTTCTGGATTAATTGTGCAAGCCCCTCCTTTTATTGATGTCCACCTTCTGTTGACAGACATCTACCCTGGGAGAGAAATGAGATGAAACTCTCTTTCTTGTCATTATAAAAAGCATTTGAATTCCTAAGGTGTGATAAGGCCACCCAGCCATCCACAGTCAAGGGACACATTTTCAGGGAGGATGTTCCCACTCTTGAATAAACTAAAACAATTTTTTTCTTTTAATTTAAACTTTCTTCTATAACTGTTTTCTTGTTACTTAAAAGCTAGTTTTTTTTTTTTGAAACTGCTTCCAAAGCTTTTCAAGCTGTCTATGTCCTTGGAATGAATTTATAAATAAGAATTGAGCCCGGCGGGTGTGGCTCAGTGGTTTAGCATCGACCTATGAACCAGGAAGTCACAGTTTGATTCCAGGTCAGGCCACATGCCTAGGTTTTGGCCTGATCCCCAGTACGGGGTGTGTAGGAGGCAGCCAATCAATGATTCTCTCTCTCCCTCCCTCTCCCTTCCTCTCTGAATCAGTAAGAATATGTTTTAAAGAGAGAGAGAGAGAGAGAGAGAGAGAGAGAGAAGAGTGTATATGTTTGTAAATAAGAAAACATATATTTGATGCTCTTAGAAAGTCTTATTTTCTTTCATTAAAACTTGTGCAGTATAGGGAACTCCATAAATTCCCTTAATTTGAAGAAAGTTAGAGGGAAAGGTACTAATTCAGAGTTCCTGGGGAAAATGTATCACTTATATATTTTTTATGTTTATTTTTTTTAAATCAAAAACTGAAATATTTTCTATTCAGAAAATATATTTGGATCTAAATATCTTCTATAATTTTAACACTAAAGTATCAATTTAAATATTTTAAAAATGGTTGGGATGTTTGTTTTTTTAAATAAGTTAGGTTACTGGAGTTGTACATGTTACTGGATCACCTGGGGTAATTTTCTGATTGGAAAATTAAGAATTATAGTCAGAGGGAAGGACATTAGAATTTTAAAAGAACACATTCAATTTACTTTAGAAGCCGAACCTCTCTTATCATGTGACTTGTTTTGCATGTTTGTTAAACTGTATTATCACATAAGCATTGCTGCTATTGGGACAAACAGTGACAGTTGATTCAGGTCATTTGAATGTCCACTGTCTGTTTTATTTGTATGTTCGTTTTGACTCTGTCATATGCTCAATCTTCAGTGGAAGTCATGAGAACCTATTATTTTTGCCTGCTCCCTCCTTTACATTGGAAATATTCTTTTTTACTCAGAGGGACCTTAACTTTGATGTAAGGGATTGTTTCCGTTGCCAACTTTTTTCTTCCTTGCCAAGTAAGAAAGTTGTGAACTCTTCAGTGATGCCTTCCCCAAGATATTTGCAGATGTGGGTGGGAAAAGTCATTTCATCCCCAACCATTGCATGTCAGATGCTGGGGTGCCTGGGTGCCGCCTGGCCTGCGCCCCGGCTCTCTCTCCCTCCAATCACCATGGGGATCACGGGGCCGCAGGCCAGCCGGCAACCCGGCCCTCAGAGGTCCGGGGTTCCTGCCTTGCCTGCGTCCCGGCTCTCTCTCCCTCCAATCACCATGGGGATCACGGGCCGCAGGCTCTCTCTCCCTCCGATCGCCATGGGGATCACAGGGCCGCAGGCCAGCCAGCAAACCCAGACCCCCAGTCTGGGGTTGCCATCTGGCCTGTGCCCCGGCTCGCCCTCCGATTGCCATGGCGATCACGGGGCCACAGGCCAGCCGGCTCTCTCTCCCTCCAATCGCCATGGCGATCACCGGCCGCAGGCAGCCAGCACCCCGGTCAGGGGGTGTCGCCTGGCCTGCTGCCCGGCTTTCTGATGGCGATCACCAGCTGGGGTAAGGGCAAAGGCAGCCTTTGCCCGCCCCCTAGCTCTTGCCTGCTGCCTGGGTTGCCGATCACCGTTCTTCTGTCTTTCCCCTTTCGCCTCCCATCATTGTGTGTATGCAAATTAACCGCCATCTTTCTTGGCAGTTAATTTGCATATCGCCTTGATTAGCCAATGGGAAGCGTAGTGGAGGTACGGTTAATTACCCTTTTTGTCTTTTCTTAGATAGGATATATATATACATACACATACATATATACATATATATATATAGACTAGAGGTCCAGGGCACAAATTCATGCATGCGTAGGGTCCGGCTGGCCTGCCCTGTTTGGGGCTGGCCAGGGGCAGGGGCTGAGGGTGGCTGGTGGGCCGGCCCCACCCCCGCTCGGGGTGGGGGGGGGCCGATTGGGGATGGGGCCAGCCTGGGGGAGGATCCACAGGTGGTTGGCCAGCCGGCCTCGCCCCCTGGTTGAACTCCCACTCGAGGGGACAATTTGCATATTAGGGTTTTATTATATAGGATTCTATTTAGTAATAGGAATTTGGCAACAGTGTGGTATGCACAGAATATAAATACCAATTCTGATTTTAGAAAGGCCCTGGCAAACGTACATCTTTCTCTAATTTCAAATAAAAATCTTACATCTGAATTTGAAATAACTATGCCCATTCTCCTATAATTATTATTACTAAAATTGTTTTATGGTTATGTGGCAAGTTTACCAGAATTCTATTTAGATAGAATATTCTTCTCAGGAAAATTCAGTAATGTATATAATGAGACACAAGATCTTGATGGCATAAAGACCAAGAGAATCTGAATCACAGATCTTCTTGATTTTAAAGGTCTTATTGTTAAGGTGCTTTAAACAAGACATGGACAAAATTAAATAGTACATGAAACAAAACAAAAATCTTTTTTGGTTTGCTCAGTTTTCTATTGGATTTCAATAAACACAAATAACCACAATGGAAACTAAATTCACCCAAAAGATCATTCAATTAACAGGAGCAAATCCATGGAACTTAGATACAAATGCTAAAACAAAATATTGTAAATTTTTATCAACAAGGAAATGCTCTTAGATAAACACTAATTAGGGAGTAGCTATGCAATTTAAAACTGTACGTTGATGACTCTATAAATTGAAGAGACAGCAATTTTGCTTTAACTCTTTATAACTGTTCCTTCTAAAAAAAGTGATTTTGGCAGTTTATCAAAGACAATACACCAATATTTTTAAAATGAAGTAATAAATACACTACAGGGAACAACTACACTCACCAGAAAGAACTGACAGCTCAGGAAATGTTTAATCCTACCTTCAAGAAGAAATAAATATGGAAGAATAAAGAAACCCCATACCAATTATACTGTTTCATATTAAAGATGTTTTATTTATAGTACACAATATCTCAGACTAAAAAATTGCCAGGAAGATCCACTATTATCGGGGCTAGTTTTCCTAACTTTTGTATCATCACTTTTCTTCACTACTTAGTTTATCTAGATTTTGCTACACTGAGAAATGGTCAATAATTACAAATGGTGAAGAGAATAGGAATGTATAATGTCTTAAAACCCAAAACCTCAGAATACGAAGAGTCTGCTTATTAAGGAGTGATTTTTGAAAAATTTATTTTATAACATTTATTCATATGTAACCTGCAGGGGTCCAACCCCAGCAGGTCCAGGGGTCCCCAAAGGTGTGGACGGAGTCGGCGAAGAAGGAATGACACAGAGACAGTGTTCAGTTGATCAGCAGCCTAGCCAGGATCTCTAGCCAGGATCTCCAGCGAAGTTCTGGTTAGGATCTCCAGCCAGGTTCTGTATCCATGTTCTCTTGCTAGGTTCTCCAGCCAAGTTCTGTAGCCAGGTTCTGTCTCTAGGTTCTTCAGCCAGGTTCTCTCACTAGGTTCTGTGGCCAGTTTCTGTCCAGGATCTTTTGCCATGTTCTCTCCAGCGAAGTTCTTCTGTCTCTAGGTTCTGTGTAGGTTCTGTGTCTAGGTTCTGTGTCTAGGTTCTGTGTCTAGGTTCTGTGTGTAGGTTCTGTGTCCTGTTGTCTTGTTACATCTGTATTTATACCAGTTGATTCCAATCCTATCAATCTCTATTCCAAAGGTTAGGGCGTTTCTTATCTCCATTCCAGGGAGTAAAGATTATGTAGCTTAAGCATGATTGTAGTTAAAGTGATTAATTACCCGCCTGGCACTTAGTTAAGGGGTTTTATTCCCTCCCTAACTTCAGGGGAAAATCCCTACCTGGGGAAACAACCTTTCTCAGAGAGGTGACCTTGGTTAAAACACATAGTGCCAAGAAGGTGAGCAAACATATTAAGAACAGTATGCCATATATGCCAGGTCCCTTGAAACAGCAAGGATGGACCGGCTCCCGGCAGTAACCATTATTTATCTTACCTGCAAATGCAAAAGCTGCAACACCCAGTCCTACAGCTATGAAGCTTCTTGCCTGTGGAGGAAAAATAATAATCACTTACAGTATTACACACTGGGTTTTAAAAGTAAATCATTTTTAATAATGTAAATAATTATGTTAAATACTACATTTTCTTCAATTTCTTCTGACAACAGAACTTAAAAAAATCTGTAGTTAATGGGATTATATCTCCTGTACACCAAATCAGTTTTCAGTGAACTAAAATAATTCTAGAGTTTCATTTAATTTTCATAAACTTGAATTCATTCTAACCTAGAGCTTTTATATTACTTATTGCTAAAATGTTTTCTACAGACCATTCTTAACAGTGGGTTTAATATATTTATCTTCTATAAAGATAAAAGGCACATTTTTCCTACTACATTACACTTGCAATACTCAATGGCATTTATTATATGTAAAAATTTAGTAAAACATTACATGCATATTTAGTAAATATGTCAAACTTCCAAAAACTATTTAAAATGTAAATAATTTAAAAGCTAGTCTATTTCTACCTTTCTAGAATGATGTAAAAATTATTAAGCAAGAGTCAAGAGTTCAGAATCTAAAGTTATGAGCTCATTCTGATAAAAATCTATTTTAAATTAGTATATACCCCATATTATTATATGCTTTTCAGTCTCAGCCCTCCATCTTAAGTTGGTTAGAGCATCATCCCAATATGCCAATCAATGAATGCATAAATAAGTGAAACACCAAATCAATATTTCTCTTTCTCTCTCCCTTCTTCTTGTTCTAAAATCAATAAAAATAATAATAATAATAATTCTGCTGGATCTTATGGATTTACCTCTCACACCACACTAATCACTTTAGGAAAATAGGTGCACCACAACATAAAAAGGTTTATGTATCAGAGATCAATGGTTGCCCCACCCATATCCATTCTCCTTTTCTTCTATGGGATCAAGAATTCCATTTTTAGTCAGACATATATTTCCAAGCCTCCCTTAGTATGGATACAGAATTAAGGAGAATTAAGGAGATATACCATAGAAATCTTTTTGTTGGATTAGTGGTGTGAAACGTCAGAGCCAACAAAAATCTTTTAAAAGCAGGAATAATCAGGAGGAAGCCAATCAATGATTCTCCCTCATCACTGATGTTTTCTCTCTCTCTCTCTCCCTTGCTTTCTAAAATCAATAAAAATATATTAATGTATGTAAATGACAGCATAGAGACTTGGCATATGGTAAAAACAACTAGCTATTGCCCATATATATAAAAGCCCAGCGACTGAATGGCAGAATGAGCAGAATGAACGGTCAACCAGTCACTATGATGCGCACTGACTACCAGGGGGCAGATGCTTAACGCAGGAGCTGCTCCCTGGTGGTCAGTGTGCACCCACAGTGGGAGCGCCGCTCGGCTGACCAGGATGAGCGGCACTCCCACAGAGGGAGTAGCCACTCAGAGGGCGGGTCCACAGCCACTTGGCTGACCAGGATGAGCGGCACTCCCACAGCGGGCCGATCCCCACAGGCCACGCCCCCCACCAGTGCACAAATCCGTGCACTGGGCCTCTAGTTCAATGTAAGTGGCATAACAGAAATATGAATAATGTTTTATAACATTTAAATTTGTCTGAGAAAATTCATAGAAGTGCTTTTTGAGGTAGCCTCGAGAAAATGCAGTTCTCTGGATTAAATAATTCAAATTTCCACATTATGAAAAATGCATTATTTCAAAAATATAAAACCTTAAAAAATTGAGTTATCCTAATTTCACATTTTAAATGTTTTTATTGATTTCAGAGAGGGAGAGACAGAAGCATCAATGATGAGAGAACCATGACCCCCACTGGGGATCAAGCTTGAAACCCACAACCTGGGCATGTGCCCGGACCTGGAATCAAACTGAGACCTCCAGACAGAACCTGGCTGGAGATCCTGGACAGAACCTGGCTGGAGATCCTGGCTAGAACCTGGCTAGAGAACCTAAAAGTAAAAAAATAAAAAACTGAGACCTCCTGCTTCATAGGTCGACGCTCAACAAATGAGCCACACAGGGTGGGCCTAATTTCACATTTTTATAGATTAATAATTATTGCATCATTTTTACTATTTCAACTATTCAAAACATATGAAACAAATAGTTGCCTCTACAATTCCAAAGGGATTTTTATTTTAAGGTATTTCTATCAGAAACATTAAGCTATGAGGCATTTGCTCATTTTTCATTTTAATCTAATAATATGTAAGGCTAAATTGTGTTTAACAATAAAAATTCAATTTAAATGAACAAGTAAGTATTTAACACTCTGTTGATTATTCTCCATTTGTCCCTATAGAACGTTTTCTACCCTTCTTTGCCTTATTCTGTAGCTCTGCCTCCCTTATCTCTAAGGACTACATGTGGAACAGAATGCTACACTTGGTTTACCAATCCCACCACAGGACTCCAAATACCTCTGCCCATTATATCTCGGTGTCAGGTTGCAAAAGAAAACACAACACAGTCAAGTACTGAATAGAACAATGCTCTACTCACATAGAGGAGAAACAGAGCAAGGCCAGCACCAAGTGTGTGCATGGGTCCCTTATAGCTAGTGGGTGCCCTGACAGTGGTCAAGAGGAAACGAGCCTCGGAGCATGCTCTAATGCTGCAGCAGAACGACCCATCACCCCTCCCACCACCCCACTCCCTCCCACCCATGGATTCTAAAATACTGAAAGCTGGAGGCATGTCTGAGGACCCTGACTGCTTTAAGCCGAACAAAGACCACTTAGAGAGCCTGAAGCAGGGACTAATAGTCCCACGAAGGTGATAAACGGAGCAAAGTCAGAGTGGCTCCTCATCTTTTAGTAAGGAAGTGTTGGAAGCTCAAGTAGGCAGAGCAAAGTCAAAAACCTGTGCATGTGACCTTGCCTTTCTCAACAGAAAGCATCAGCAGAAAAGCAAAAAATGGAAGGAGATAGAAATAATAGTACAAATTATTCCCAGCTATGTTTCCTCTTTGGACACAGCTCCTATTTAGTGGTTCTTCTTCCATGCCAACAACTCTTGAGTTCTGGAATACAATTCACATCACCTCCGTTGCCGCTTTGCCTGGGTGGGTAACAGTTTCCAACTGTTCCAAGTCCTTGACAGAATTATCATCCCTTTTTTATTACCTAACCAGGCCCACACCTCTGCAAATAGTCCATTAAACTATCTTCAAAAAAAGCCATCCATCTGTTACTACCAGGACCCTCGCTGATACAAACATCACACTATATACTAATCATTATACTCTTTACAAGAGATTTAGTAGCATGGAACAAGACAAAGGGTCCTGTGTAGAACATAGTGGGAGTCCAATGTTTATGCTAACCTCCCAAAGACCTTTTTATTACAGCATTTATTGCACTAAATTATAGTTAGGTGTCCTGCCTTCTTCAGCTTTTGTAGGAATCCAGAGCCTTTTAAAAATATGATGAAATCTATAGATGCCACAATAAACCACAAATATATATATACACCCTGAAGCCCTTCAGTCCACAAACCCAACATAAGAACCTCTGAAATAAATAAATAAATAGCAAGCTCACTGAAGTCCAGGGAAGTGTCTTATGCACCTTTACTCTCCTAGAGTAAGGACCTTCGTTTATGTATACATTTTTTATTCATTCAATAACACAAGAAAAACAATTTTGATTCCAAGAACTGATCTCTATTTCTAAAGACCAACTTTACAGAAAGACTAGAGGCCCAGTGCACAAAAATTTATGCACTCGGGGGGGGAGGGGGTCCCTCAGCCCGGCCTGTGCCCTCTCACAGTCTGGGACCCCTCGGGAGATAACAACCTGCTGCCTTAGGCCTGCTCCCGGGTGACAGAGGGCAGGCCCAATCCATAGGTGCAGCCCCTGGACAGGCTCAGAGCAGGGCCGATTGGGGAGTTGGGGCACAGCCCCTGTCATGCACAGAGCAGGGAGGATTGGGAGGTTGCAATGCCACCCTCAGTCACGCTCAGGGTAGGGCAGATTGGGGGGTTGGGGCACCGCCCCCTGTCACACTCAAGGCAGGGTTGATGGGCAGGTTGCGGCGCCACCCCCTGTCACTCACAGAGCAGGGCCTATTAGGGGGGTTGGGGCTCCGTACCCTGTCACGCACAGAGCAGGGTCGATTAGGGGGTTGGGGAGCACCCCCTGTCACTCACAGAGTAGGGCCGATAGGGAAGTTGGGGCACCACCCCCTGTCACACACAGAGCAGGGCGGATCAGGGGGTTGGGGCACCGCACCCTGTCACACTCAGGGCAGGGCCGATGGGGAGGTTATGACTCTACCCCGTCACACACAGAGCAGGCCCGTGGGGGGGGGGGGGGTGTTGGGGCGCCGCACCCTGTCACACACAGAGCAGGGCCAATCAGGGGTATGGAGCACTGAACCCTGTCAAACACAGAGCAGCAGGGCGATCAGGGGCTTGGGGAGCTCCCCTCTATCAGGCACAGAGCAGGGCTGATCAGGGGGTTGGGGCGCCTTCCCCTGTCACAAACAGAGCAGGGCGGATAGGGAGGTTGTGGCCTCACCCGCTGTCACACACAGAGCCGCAGGGCGATCAGGGGGTTTGGGCGCTGCCCCCTGTCATGCTGATCCCGGTGGCAGGAGGCCTCGTGGCTCCACTGATCCCGGTGCTGGGAGGCATATTACCCTTTTACTATATAGGATAGAGGCCTGGTGCAAGAGTGGAGGCTGGCTGGTTTGCCCTGAAGGGTGTCCTGGATCAGGGTAGGGGTCCCCACTTGGGTGCCTGGCCAGCCTAGATGAGGGGATGATGACTGCAGCTGGTCACACACCCTTCAGGGTGAGGGTCCCCACTGGGGTGCCTGGCCAGTCTGGGTGAGAGGCTGAGGGCTGTTTTCAGGCTGGCAGGTGACTGAAGCTCCCAACTGCTCCTTTTTTTCTTTTTTTTCTTTTTTTATTCTGGGCCAGCTTTTGCTCTGAGGCTTGGCTCCAGCTCTTAGGCCTCCGCTGCTGAAAGCAGGTATCTGGTTTGTTTGGGTTCTATAATCGAAACACTGTTTCAACTC